GGTAAGCAAAAGTATAAACAAAATCTGATAAACAATCTTTAGGTCTAGACCTTTAAAAATGTACCTTGACCTGTTCTTACAAGCACGTGGTTTCCATACATTTTACAAAGTACTTCAGTCCTCAATCTATATTTATAGAAACGCATTTTAATTGTTGATTGCATCACAGGAAAAATGTCCACACTGCCGGTTTATCTCATGCGTCTCCTTCCATACATGTCGGATTATGCACTAAACTAAATGTCAGGACTCTATGGTATGAAGACATGCATCTTCCGGTCTGTCGATAACTATCAAAGCCCCGTTATAACCAATGAATGGATTCAGAAGTGAAACCCTGGAGTGCTTTTACTTTGAAACGGGTTCAGGAAGTGTTAGTGACATAGACACAGTCAAAATAAAAGCACTTCAGTGTTTCTGTTGACCAAATCCATTCTTTTGTTTAAAAATGTGTTTTTATTCTGAAATATTTGCAGGAGCAGGAGATGCATGGCTTCATACTGTTTAGTACTAGTATTTATTTGAGTACACAGGACAATAGTCATATGTATGGCCATACACATGCAAAGTCTATGCAAAAACATTGTCCTGCAGTAGCAGCTCCTCCACAAAACATATTGTTGAACTGAAGTATTGCGTATTGAACAATTCTGAATAAAGCAAATCTTTTGTTTTAGATGTTCGGAGCAACTATTGCCAACTCTGGGTCAGGGAGACATCACAAATATGTTGAAAACACTGACGACATGATGGTAAGCTTCACACTGACAGGAAAACCACCTTATAGTTGTGTGAATGTCTTTAGCCATGGCTAAATATGAAAAATCCAGTGTGGCACGTTTACAGGGATATCACACATCCCTGCTCCTTAATTTTCCATAGGTTTGTATAGGGCTGGTGTGGAATGAGGTTAACAGTGAACTGCACAATGTTCTCAAACAAATTACAGGATAGATTTCTTTCTAAATATTTGTACAAAATCTTGAAAAGCAAAAGTTATAATGAAACCAATTGGCAGTTTTTTATGATTCTTTGGTGGCACTTAAAACCAAACTGCTTACATTTCAATTTTCTGACAGCTAAATAAAAGTTCTGAAATGCAAATGGTTTATGTCTGGCTGCTGTTGGGAGACCCTGGCTTTGTACCTTGCGTCCTTTGCCACTAACAGCATCCATAATCAAAAAAGTACAGGGAAATGAAAAATTCCTACCACTTACAAATATGCAAAATAGATGCCAATTTTCAAGAACCTTTAATTGCGCAAAAACTTTTTTTTAAAGACAAACAAAATGACTGCTAATCGCTGTTGAGCATATCGATAGCCCTTGGGATAAAAGAAACATCAAGACTTTTTGTCTCCCAGAGTCACTTATCTTCTCTTAAAAGGATGATCACAACAATCCAATATAGCATTTGCCCTCCGATGTACCTGCCTGTTAAAAAAGCAAGGCTTGACTACACTGTGTGATCCTACTAGTGATTTTGACAGGGGCCCCTAGTCTTACTTTACATGCCAGATTAAAGTTTCCAAACCAAGCAACAATACAGAAGGTTAAAGCAGATTCAATAAAACTTCTGTAGAAGAGGGTTATCATCTCAGAAGAGACATGAATAGAGTTCCTTTTCTTCAGGCTTTGCTGGACCTTTTTTGAGGTCCTTCCATATGTTTGGACCGTGGCTTTTGAGGCTCTGAAAGTAATTTACTGCTCCTCTGTGTGTGTGTGTGTGTTGTGTGAGAATGTGAGAGTGTGAGAGTGTGTGAGAGGAAAAGATCAAGCAGGACAGCTGATAAAGGCGCAAGCATTAAAATAACATTTAACTCATTAAGAAAAGTATTGATCATTATGTGATGATCAGTGTTGATATTGTGGCGTCATTTTAAACAAATCATCATTTAAACAGTAGCAGGTCGACAGAGAGGTAGAGAAAAAAAAAGAAAGAGAGAGAGAGAGACAGAGTCTGTGTGTGTTTGTTCTTTGACCGTCTCATCATCCTCAAACTGAGCTCAACATCAGAGACTGGACCGCCAACTGCCTCCAAAGGTCCCTAAAGGAAAAGGAATTCCCTTTCTCCACAGCGACAATAAAAAAATATTTTTCATCTATATTCATCTTCTATCAACACTACAGCAACAACAACTGCTCTTGAGCGCTTCCAGATTTCTCGTCTGGTCCAGCCTCTGCTGGCTGCATCATGCAGAACGTCACAGCATCTCCGCCAAATATTCTAATTTATGTAACAGTGTTATAAAGTTGCCATCAGTCATTGCAAACTTACCTTTTACTGCATGTATCTGTTTATAGACATTTGGATGTTTTGCACTGACTGAACTGAGTCATGGCAGCAACACAAGAGCCATGAGGACCACAGCCACGTACGACCCTTCCACCCAGGTTAGCGCATACACAATTTGAGTATTTAAACATTGTGTTTTTGTCTGTCCTGTAAATATACAGAATATTACACTTAGTGGGTTTTTAAGTCAGGTTATGACATATTTATATTAGTCATCCTTAAATATTACTTTTACTAAAACCAGAAAGGATTCAGTATTTCTCATCAAAAAATTGATGTCAATATGGAGAAAGCTATCAGTCTTTATACCAGTGGTTCCCAAACGTTTTGGCTTTTGATACCTTAATAATGTCTTAATACTGTATATAAGGGCCTTTTTGATGCTTCATCACAGGTTCAAAATATTGCTGGGTGGTAAACTAACTACTACAGATAGACACTTTCAAACCTACGTCATTTAAACACAGACTGTTTTTTATAATGACAGTAATGATAGCAATAGTATACCACACCCCAGTATGGAAAATACTGCTCTCAGTTATGACCTTTTCCACCAATGTTGTCATGTAACACAAAATATTCTAGAATTAAAAGTTCTATAGTTATACTATAACAGATTGGAAGGAGGGCATGACCCAGTGAGACTGAGATTTACTGAAATTGTTTTTATTCAGCAAAATGTAATACTACAACACAAAGATTCTCAATCACAGTGCTTACTATTAATGACTTGTCCATGTTACTTACCATATTTTGGTCCTCAGGCCTTCATCTAGTAAAATTCTTTTTCCTAGTTTACTGGATATTTTGCCTTGTAAAATTTAATTAGGAAATCACAACCCTACATCGCTCTTGTAAACAATAACCTTTCTGTCTGTAGGAGTTTGTAATCAACTCTCCAGACTTTGAGGCTGCCAAGTTCTGGGTGGGGAACCTTGGTAAGACTGCCACCCATGCAGTGGTGTTTGCTCAGCTCTACACCCCTGACCAGGTTTGCCATGGCCTACACTCCTTCATTGTCCCGGTAAGATTCTGACCTTTGACCACTGACAAATGATTGCATTATTAGATGCTTTCATCTGATGTGATGTCACACAGGCTCTGTTTGGACCTTGTATTAACGTCTGTCCATAGAGATCCGATGACATGTGTTTGTACCCACTCTGTGTACAGTATATGTATCTATCTGATGTCATTGTATTTGTTAATGAGTTTTCCTCCATCATCTCCGCTTCACTGTCTATTTCACCCTCTAAACTCTGCCTCGCTCCCAAAGATGTGAGAGACCAGTTAATTGAGGCGCAGATGCAAACTGGTGCGAGCAGGGAACATTTTATTTGCACTGTTTTTTTGTATTTATGAATCGCCTTGCAGGCTGGATCAAACAATCTTGCGGGCCGTATACGGCCTGGAGACTGGTCGTTCCCTACCCCTGTTCTATACAAATAAAGCTTATTGTTTAAAATCTGAAATTGTGTGACAAAGGGGGTCTTTTGCTCCATGCATTTTATAAAGAAATGAGAGAGGTCTTTATTTATTATTGTTACATTTGGTTGATTACTTACTCTGGATTGAATTGTTGTTACTATGTTTAATGATACACAAGGTAAAGGTAAAAGTCAGAAAAGAGATTGGAAGTTGCAGAGTCACAAGGCTTAATAGCCACCAAATCATAGTAATTATCCAAGAAATATGAAGTGTTACTTTTGTACAGGTTGTAAATGACTGAGCACCCTGAGTGGAATCCATTAAGTCTATAACCATTGTGCTACAGGTGAGGGATCCTAAGACCCTGCTGGTTCTGCCGGGTGTAATGGCTGGAGATATTGGCAAGAAGCTGGGCCAGAATGGACTGGATAATGGGTAGGCGACAGTGGAGGAAATCATTACATTGTTTTTTACAGTTGCAGAGAAAGTCCAAGGTAGATAAAAAAAATTTCATTCAATTGGAGAGAGAATTATTTTTGTTTTTCCCATTCCAACATGCCCACTTGCTCATGTGTGTCATAATGTGTGAATATGATATAAACCACTTGAGTGTTCAGGAATACTCAATCCGTGCAATCTTAATACAGTCCATTGACCAAATGCACTTCATTTTTGTCAATCTCTTTTCCTATCAGCTTTGTTATGTTCAACAATGTGAGGATCCCACGGGAGAACCTACTGAATAAGACAGGAGATGTTACTACTGATGGCCACTACATTACACCATTCAAGGTTAGTAAGATTATAGAGTGTTTTTCACTTAAATCTAGGGTACCATTCAAAGTTTCGTCTGACAAATATTGAATTAAACAAAAATAAATTGAAAACAATAATATGAGCAATAAAAGTCACGGTGGCACATGATGATGCCACCAGGGTCTCACCACAACAGCCAGAGACAAACCAGTTGCTTTTCACCATACTTTTATTGAAGAATGGGTCCAGCTATTTCTGCTGGCCTAGCAGCTCCACTAACCCTTCTCATGAGGCTCTCGTGCTTCGCTCCATCCAATGCATGTCTCCTTGTGTCTCTCCCATGTATCTCCCTCTGCCTTTCCAGGGAGAGTTGATTGGCCAATGTTGAGGAAATCTGAATTTGCGAGACTTCTGAAATAAAGAGAACTGATCATAATGGTCTTTTAAATGCATGTTTATTCTTTGGCAAAGAAGGTCAAACAGATCTTACAGCACGTGAAGATGGTTAAGACAAAGAAGCATTTTCCAGCATCCTCTTTCATACAGAAAGAGGTGATGTATGAAGTAAAACCCCAGAAGATAAGATTGGAGGAGACAGCACAGTGATTCTCAGTGGCTCTCTCAGCAGAAGCGGAGCAAATTTAAGTGCAAACAGGAGCTATTTTGTTGCAAGGGCAGGGTTTTGATGAAAAGTAATGCACATTCTAAACATAAATTCAACAAGTCTTGCGCTTAAACTGAAAGACCATACTGTGTGCCAGATGTGGACATTGAGTACACAATAATAGTCCTATATCAGATATCAATTTGTACGTGCCATGCTTTTTTGAGTTTTCAAGCACCTCAAGTGTGTCATCAACATTTTCTTATTTTATGGTGCAACATCACCACAGGTCAAAGCACTTCAATTAAAAACTAAAAACAATTTTCACAATAACCATCATCAAGGTCTTAAGGTTTTTTGACAGCATTTACAGATATGTCCATATGCACATGTTGAAAAGATAACTGGTAATGAGAACTAGGCTATAAAATTGCTCTGGTGGCCAAGTGCAGATAGTGAGTACAGTCGTAACCTTGAAAACCTGAGTTAAAAAAGACTACATATGATGATTAACAGCTTGGTTGTTAGAAAAGTGAAACATGAGTCGTTGAAGTCCAGAAAAATACAGGTTCTTTGGTATGGATTCCTGCATGATGATGCAGTTATGCATGTCACAGTTGTGTTTGTTTTGAAAGAAAGGGTATATAAAGTATTTTCTCTTTTTCATTTTATTGCTTCTGCATATTTGTCTGTCATCTCCTCCAGGACTCAAACAAGCGTTTTGGGGCATCTCTCGGTGCCCTGTCAGGGGGCAGGGTGTATATCACCAGAATGGCTCTGACCAACCTGAAGCTAGCTCTGGTTGTGGCTATCCGCTTTTCAGCAACCAGGAGACAGTTTGGACCAAAGGACGCAGATGAGATTCCTGTTTTGGAGTACCAGTTGCAGGTCAGAATTGTGGCTATAGATGATCGACACAGACAATAACTTAAAGATGTTTGAGTGCCACTTAAGCTGCATATTTCTGTCTGAATCAAACCTGAGTCCTAAAGAGTAGTAACCAAGCTGACCCTTACCTGTCAGGCAATATGTTTTTAATGTCCAAACTTGACCCGACCCTAATGCAGTAAAAGAAAGCACTGAGTTTGTGTTACCCTGTCATGGTCACAATTAGACAATTAACACTGATTATATGGGCACTTTGTAATTGATGATCAAAAGGCTTTTTCATGCCTCCGGACAGTGGATGCAAGCATTATGGGTTGCCTGTTCGCCTTGTTCGCATGAACACGATATTTCAAAAACACCATGGCGTAATTTCTTCAAATTTGGCACAAACATTCACTTGGACTGGATATAATTTGGTGATCAAAGGTCGCTTTGACCTCACAAAGTAAATTTTTAGCCTTGTTGATGCTTTATCTACGTAAAGCCTTGAAGGAAGTCCTGTCACTTTACATTTTTATAAAAAAATAGCTGTTGGAGATAGTTAAGTACACTAAGTATATCCAGCGGAAGGGTTATGCTGATGGAATATCCAATGCCTCATTAGACAATGATTTATGGCACATCCAAAAGATCCTGAACCATTTGGATCTAACACTGCCATGTGCCACAGTGTTAAAATCGCAATATATATGTGTTCTGTGTTCTAGCAATGGCGTCTGATCCCGTATCTGGCAGCAGCATATGCTCTTGAACACTTTACCAAATCTATCTTCATGAACTTTGTTGAGTTCCAAATTGGACAGATGATGAAAAACAAAGGTGACATTCAAGTAAGTAAAATAAAATATGTGTCTATATCCAGAGTATCCTACTCCATTTAATATAAGTTAAACAGTTATGCATGTTTTACCTTAAAACATTGAAATTATTTGAAATGAAATGATGGATATTATATCTCACACTCCATTCGTGTCTGTTGAAGTAAACCTTGACAAATTAAAGCTGAGACTTGGCACTTTGATGTAGTAGCCACTATGTTCAAATGGACTGTGCTAAGCAGCTCGATTAAGCCTAAAGAGCAAAAATAATTATGATCTGGACTTAATTTAGCTGCTGTATGTGTTTGCTAGGCAGAGATGGGCAGGGAGATCCATGCCATAGGCTGCTCTAGTAAACCACTGGGTTCATGGACTGCCCAGAAGGGGATCCAAGAATGCAGGGAGGCCTGCGGTGGACATGGATACCTTGCCAGTCAGTCTCAATCATACGCATATTCACATATACCAGTGTTTTCCATTCATTACCTAGACAGTGGAGGCTGACCATAGTCTAATTTGTCCTGCCACAGTTTCATAATCATCAGAATTTTTTAAAACACTAATAATAACATAAAATGTTCTCAGCAGGTAAGCAGACCTCGGCACATTCACGCACATAGATTCCTAACTTGAGGTTTTCTCTCTTTCAGTGAGTCGGCTGGGTGATCTTCGGAATGACAATGACCCAAACTGCACCTATGAAGGAGACAATAACCTGTTGCTGCAGCAGACCAGCAACTACTTGCTCAGCTGGCTCCATGCCAAGCTTCATGGTCAGTCCTAAATTCATTGAGAGAATCCAAATATTCAGAGACAGGGACAGTGGTGAGAGGAAGATATGCAGTTATGCTAATTGGTGATCATGATGCTTATTCATTGGTTGTGAATGTTTTCCAGTTACTAGTGCTGCTGTGGTTTACAATGTTAAAGCAGTTTTTGGACTCTCTACAACATTTGAGACCAGTGGCCACATTTACAAACATTATGTACATTATCTAATAGTTTCGGTGTCACTGAGAGGTGATGCATTAAAATTACTAACCTCGGGTAATTGCTAAGGAGTTTGACCTTAGAGGGAACAAAAAACAACCACATTAATAATGCATGATGAATTCACATGAAATATTTGATTGGTTTGTACAGCTTCAAATTATGTATTGTCTGGTTTCAGATGATATGCGGATTGAGTCTCCCTTTCACACTGTGGATTTCCTTGATGATTTCCAAAAGATTCTGGGAAGCAAATTTGAACAAACAACAATGGAGGAGTGTATGGACTCTGCAGGTATTTCATTATTTTAGCTGGTGCAGATTTGATCAACTTAAAATGTTGACTACAAACTTACTTTGACAGAACTAGAATTCAGAAAACATTGTTCATTGAAAAAATCAAACTTGAGGCAACAAGGTTTTTACAGAAACATCTGTTCATCTGCAGAGCAATCAATCACTCATATTGTTAAAAAATATTATTTTTTAAATAACTGTGAACATACATCAGAAGATGTATGTTCACAGCTATTTAATGCCACCATGATCAGAAACCACCACCATGATCTACAATGGTTTAGAAAAGTATAGATGCAAATGTTACCTCCAGTCTGCAGCTTCATTTCAATGGCAGCATTGGTTTGGGACAGATCTTATGTGCATCTAAAAAATTATGCGAAAGTCCACTTATTAAATATAGGATGTTCTAATTAAATGTCTTGAAAGTAGTTACAATTCAATTGTGTTTTAAAATTGTTTTCTCATTATACTGTGTTATCTTTTTGTCTTTCATATCAGTGCCACTGGCAGCATATAAGTGGCTGGTGTGTTTCCTGTTAGAGGAGAGTCAGAAGAGGCTTGAACAGCAGAGGGCTTTAGGCAAGGATGAGTTTGAGGCTTGTAACAACAGCCAGGTAACACACACAAGTGCTCACACTGTAGGTTGTACATTTAAAATGGTATTCACAAAGATATCACACGCAAACTGTTTTCAAGCATGAACTTTGGAAAAGGTCCATAGCAACTGACTGTGACAGTTGCATTCTCACATACATCCTCTTGGGAAATTTCCGGAAAATGTCTTTAGCGCATGTCTGAAAGTGGCTTCACACACCACTTGAGACACACTCACCTTTTGTAACATTTTAGCAGTTTTAAATTGTCCCTTATCTAAGGTTTAGGATGTAAGTTAATCTCTCTCCTGACGTGCAGTTCAAATTACAGTAACAACAACAACAACAACAAAGATTTAATTTAAATGTTTCACCTGATAATACAGTCAGATTACACATGCTGAATAGTTCATAAAAATCACATTTAAGTTAATCAATACAAGTTAGTATTTTTGAATTTGTGAATGTAGGTAAATGTGTCAGCAGCTTCAGCAAACAATTCATAAAACACAGAAAAAGAGTGCCAGAGGTTCCAAAGCTCAGTCCTTCACGTGATATAATTTATCAGACCATTATTCAGTCAGTCAGAAGGGTAGTCACAGTTTTGATGCATTGATTTAATGGTTAGCCTGGCAGTCTTGCGTAGCATTTGCCACAAGGCACATTGAAGGGTTGGGTCGAGTCTCTGACCAAGCTTTTAAATTTGAAATGTCATTGATTCACCTGCATTAGCAGAGACTTTATTTGGATATTATAGGTTTGTCACTTTAGTAACTGCAAACAGCAGCATTGGTTTATTTAAGATCTCAACTATGTTATTACAATGACATCTCTCATATGTTTACATCGACGACTACTGATGACATGTTGGGTTTTCGTGACGACTGCTGATGATGTAACAGTTTCTTGAAGGGCTGTCCCAATTCGTGGGGGACCACTACCCTTTGTGACTCCGTTTCAAGGGGTAGTGGTCGCCAGTCAATCACTGTGGGAAGAAACAAGCCATAACATTTAGTCCATACAGAATTGGTCCTCAGTTGGGTTTGAACTCAGACCCTTGTTGCTGTGTAAACTGATTACCATAAAAGTACCACTTACCCATTAACTTTGTGGCATGAGTTTGGCTTTATTTTCTATTTCCTCACCTGAGTAAAAAGTGGAAATAAAAAAATAACTCTACAATTCACCCCCTGTGGTTGTTTTTTGAATTCAGGTATACTACTGTCGTTCCCTTGCCATTGCCTACATCGAACAAAACTGCCTCCAGAGGTTTCATGAGCAGACAATGGATCAGGACACACCAGCTTGTCTCAGACCAGTACTAAGCAAACTGTGTGCCTTGTATGGCCTGTGGAGCCTCAGCAACCACATGGCTACACTATATCAGGGTATGTACTGTCCTCTGTATAATGCATCCATACACAGAAATAAAAATGACCCATTCAGTTACATTGATTCAGTATTTGTTACATGGCACTTGTTCTTTTCAAGGTAATTACATGAGTGGAAGGAAGCCAGCAGAGTTGGTTCAGACGGCCATTCTCACTCTCTGCTCCCAGGTACAGGAACATTGATCTCTCTATCTTTCACCATATCCATGTACTTCTCATTTGCATAAGATACACTAAGAGGCATTATAGATATTATTTCAGCTACTTGTAAACAAATGAACCCTGTAAATTTAGGATACTGAAGTCACACGCAATATGTCTTTATTTGGGTTTGGATCATCAGAAAATCTTAAATCTTAAAAACAAACAAATGCATGTGTATGTGTATACACTGCAAATAAGTACTTCACCTATGCCTAGATAATCTGTCCACCTGACAGGTGTGACATATCAAAATATGCTAATTATCAAGCATGATTATTGCATAGATGTGCCTTGGACTGGTCGCAGTAAAAGGTCACACTAAAATGTGCAGTTTATCTTGAAGAATGACTTTAATCAGGCACTGAACATCAGTTTCACATAGAGTATTTTTAGGGAGGGGGCAGCAGAAAACCAGTGAGTATATGGTATAACCACTATTTGCCTCACGCAGTGCCACACATATTCTATGCATTGCTGGATATTGGCAGGAATCAAAAGCATCCCAAACATGCTCAATGGGTGACATGTCTGGTGAGTATGCAGACCATGCAAGAACATGGGGCTTTGCATTATCATGCTGCAACATTTGGCGATGGCAGATGAATGGAATGACATTGGGCCCGAGGACCTCATCACAGTAACTCAAATTGAATCAATAAAAAACAACTGTGTTGTACATAGTTTATGCCTGCTCATACCATAGACCTATGAACACCATGGGCCAGTCGGTTGACAACATTGACATCAGGAAACCGCTTGCCCCCCTGACACCAAACCAGCTGTCTGCCATCTGCCTGATACATTGTAAACCAGGAACTTCCATTATTATTATTATTATCATTATTATTTTCCCAATCAAGTCGTTTATGAGGATGTACTACAGGTAGGTCCCTGATGAGGCCGACGAGTACTCGGATGTGCTTCCCTGAAACATATGTTGACCATTTTCATTTAAGAGAAATAAGCCTTTTAGGTCAATAGAAGAAAACCTTAGATCCGTGTATATATATAGACTGCTCGAAAAATATAAGACGCTCAATACTTAATCGTCACGTTACAACACCAGGACAGTTAAACTTAAGGGATATCAATCTGTCCATTTAGGAAACACAAGTGATTATGAATGAGTTTTTCCTGCTGTGGTGAAAATTAAAGTGCATTGGAGAGGCAAAACCAAGACAACCCCCAATGTGCATGTGCTGGCCACAGACAGCTTCTCTCTCTTTATCCTCCCTGACTAATTCTTCTTTAGTCTTGTGTTCTGCTAGTGACTTTGTCACTACTGGTAGCATGAGGCGGTGTTTGCAGCCTGATCAGGTTGCACAGGTATTCCAGCTCCTTCAGAATGAAACATCCATACATTGCTGTGTCTCCCAGCACAATCTCAAAAGCATTGAGGAGACACAAGGAGACTAGCAGTTACACAAGACTGTGCATGTTCCTGACCAAACTGTCAGAAACAGACTCCATGACAGTGGCATGAGGGCCCAAAGATCTCTAGTGGGACCTGTGCTCACAGCCCAGCACCATGCAGCTCGATTGGCATTTGCCAGAGAACAACAGAATTGGCAGGTCCGCTATTGGCACCCTATTCTCTTCAAAGATGAGAGCAGTTTCACACTGAGCACATGTGAAAAGAGAAGCTGTGGTGAACGTTATGCTGCCTGTAACATCATCCAGCACGACCGGTTTGGCGGTGGGTCAGTGATGGTCTGGGGAGGCCTATCATTGGAGGGTCGCACAGATCTCCATGTCATAGCCAGCTGACTGCTGTTAGGTACCGGGATCAAATCCTCAGAGAGATTTCCAGACCTCATGCTGGTGCAGTGGGCCCCGGGTTCCTCTTGGTACAGGACAATGCCTGGCCTAATGTGGCCAGAGTGTGTAGGCAGTTCATGGATGACAACCTATAGGACATTATGTATCGGTGCATCCGACGCCGCCAAGTATCTCTACAGGCTGTGCAGGAGCTCATAGATGCCCCGATCCAAGTCTGGGAGGAGATCCCACAGGACACCATCCACCAACCCATCAGGAGCATGCCCCGACGTTGTGGGGTGTGCATACAGGCACCCAGGGGCCATACACAGTACTGAGTAACATTATGATTTGCTGTGATAAAGGTCACGCAAGTTGGATAATCCTGTAATTTCAGGTTTTTTTTCTTTAATTTTCAGTATGATTGTGAATCCAGCCTTCAATGGTTTGATGATTTTGGTTTCCATTGATAGTTGTTATGCCATTTTGTTTTCAACAAATTATAGAAAGATATCAAACTTGAATAATTCATTCATCAAGATCTGATGTGTGATTGAAGTGCTCCCTTAATTGTTTTGAACAGTGTGAGTTAAATTAATTCAAAAAATTTACTGGTATAGTTTATTATAGTATTTTGTTATACGTTTCCCAATTTTTTTAGATTAGATTAGATTCGTTTTTTATTGTCATGTTGCATGCAACACACAATTGAAATTTACCTTGCTCTCCCTCAGATCACACACACACTCAACACATGCATTACAGAGGGAGAGCAGGGCAGCCATTATACGGCGCCCATAGAGCAGTTGGGGGTTCGGTGCCTTGCTCAAGTGCACCTCGGCAACTCTGGAGGCAAGCTGGCATCTCACCAGCTACCAGTTTTTTCCTTTTCTAATTGAATTTCTAAAAAAAATTTAATTTCCTAATTTAACTTCATAAAGCTAAATGATAAAATTATGGCTTTAGTAGATGTAGCTCACCCACCTGACTTAACCTGATCTGTTCTCTGTTTCTTTTCCAGCTAAAAGATGATGCAGTAGCATTGGTGGACATATTTGCACCCACTGATTTCATCCTCAACTCAACCCTTGGCAATGCCGATGGACAGGTAAACGGACACAAACCTAAGAGCTGTCATGTCATACTATATTGAGCGCTGTTGACAGTTGGTCTTTTCCATTAGGTCAATATATGGTACAACCACAACATGGATTA